TGGAGTCGGAGCAGGCGGGGCGCGGCCGCATCAGGGGCGTCTCCTCTCCCGTCCCCACAGTGACACAGCAAGGACGGGAGCGAGACGGCGCCGCCCCCTCATCTCCCCGCAGCACCCAGCAATGGCGGCGGAGACGCTGCACAGCCTGGTTGCCACGGTAACGACAACCCCGAGAGCAGCAGTGCCACCGATGGAGGGATTGCAACACCACAGCAAAAATTTCAACAGCATTTTTCCAATTCCTTGCAAAAGTCAGAAGACGCAATGAAAAAGTATAGCAGTACTGAGTGTTTTCCAAGATACCAAGAAGGATGGACATTATGCAAATCAATTTTATTTCAAATACAATGTGGATGAAAATCACTGTAAAAAGATAGAAATGTTAATAATGATTTTATTGCCAAAAATGTCTCTGAAAACAAAAATTTGAGAAAAGTCAGTCAGATGGAATGTTGGTATTGAGTTCACAATTTCTGTTTTTGAGTTTTTATAGATAATAATATAAGTAATTATGATTTTTGAGTTTTATAGATAATAAGATAAATTATAATTGTCAAGTTTTTGTAAGTAATGATAAGTAGTGATTGTTACTAATGTTATATGAATGCTTTGAAAAGATTGTCTTAAACTATTTTAAACATTTCTTGTTGATAGGTTGATCATATAATGTAAGTTGTCTGATTTTTGTGATAAGAATTATTATTAAGATGTTAAAGTATTGAGGTGTTGTTTTAATATTTACAGTCAGTTTTCATATGTTTTATTGTCTTTCTAGGTGATTGATTGCAAGATGTGTTTTTCAGGATCCTGTGTTTTTGATTTTTTAACTACTCATGTGTTTTCTTTATCCAATCTTTTATGCAGCTGCAGTTCATCTTCTTTTACAAATTTATAGTCCAAGTTTTGGTTCAAGATTTCAGACTTCAAATTTTCAGATCTCTAAAGAAAAGGTTTGTTGTATTTAGAGAATTTTTGTCTTGAAGGAAATTTCGAACACGTTCAATTATTTGATGGTTTGATAAATTTTTAATAATAAGGTTTTTTTACTTATAACTGTTATTTCTAAGACTTTTGTTTTAAACATATTCTCCAATTAGAGTTCGAGCTTTGGCCAAGCTCTGGCTCTACGTGGATGGTGTGGTTGACCCAGGTGTTTTCTGCATCAAAAAGTATTCAAGTCCTTTTGGCTTGACAATTTGACCATATAGGGCAGCTGAGCCTCAGAGGGAGTTTTGGAGAGACATGATCCGGACATGTTTTATCCAAATCTCTGTTGTTTTAAGGTTTGTCAGCTGCAGCAGACTCTGGGATGACAACTTGATAGTGTAGCATTTGGTAACTGTGATTTTATATGTAATATTGATTGTGTATTATCTGATTGATTTTTATTTGTTGTTAGTTTCTTTACTATATGCATTGTTTTGTTTTTAATGTTTTTTCATGTTTATAACAAAAATGTTGATATCTCCATTTCTTCATGCAAGTTTTAGGGAACAGAATTGAGAGAGGACCCTCCAGTCCCTGTGGGGGGTGTTAGGTTTGTTTGTGTTTTAACTGGTGCAGAATCTAGATGGATTTCAGTGAAGAATGTGGAACTTATCAATTGCAAGAGGGCACTGATCTCTCCACAAGTGAATCAGAAGATGCACAGCAAAAGTGGATTGTACAAAGATTTGTGTTTCACCCACAGAAGATCGTGGGCTTTGGGGTTTTTTTAATATACAAGTGTGTTTTTGATTAGGTTATAGAATTTTTTGCTAAGTTTTAATAAGTTTTAGTAATGCCTGTGATTTTTCTGTTCATCTTGCCATTGTCTTTCAATGGCAAAAGAAAAAGAGGGAGGTCCCAACGTGGATCAACAGCAATCCTGCTTGAGTGAGTGTTTTTACCCATCCAACCAAGAAGTCTGGGCAGGACAGATGCTTTTGCTGCATTGATACGAAAAGGCAGAAACAGAATTTTAAAAATAGATTAAAAAGATACCAACCCGCGGTGATAACAACATCAATGACAACAGTTTGCCTGGAACATCCCGTGATGAATCCAGTTCTGATGAAAATTAAGCCTGTAGAGTACAGAGAAATAAGTTGAAATATCAGAAGTGTGAAGTTAGATTTATCAGAAGTTAGTTTATTAGAAGTTATAGTTTATGTTTAGAATTAAGTTTGTTTCTTTCATGTTAAACAGGGCATTCAAAAACCTGAGAAGAATGTGGTGGGCCTCAATGTTTTTATTAAGCAGTGTTTTGGTTGTTGAAGTATCTGGAATCCTTGACATTGACAAGAGAGAAAATATGTGGATCACTTGGGCCAAACAAACCAGGCAAGATTCATTCTGCCTGTTGTTAGCCACACCGTCTAACCCCCTTTTCATACTTGTTCAATTGGAGTCTCGTTGGGTCCCATGGCAGAGTTCAAAACTTGGACCCGAGCTCAAATAAATTTAAATAGCACACTGGGAGCGCAAGCTGTTGCATTTGTGCAAAACCTTAAATTTACTGATGACAGTCTTCAAGAATTTGGTCTTTTGGGTTCTGTCCCAGGAAATTATTGTTTAATATTTGGATCTTATGCTACCAAACCAACTCAAGAAAATGGAAAATTGACAGATGACGACACTTGGTTGTCTCCCAGATCACCATTGTATTACAACTATTCAGAATATTGTAACAATTCGTCTCAATCTGTGACACCGCCAAGAGGTGGTGCAGGAAAACTGCCCCCAGGAACCTTCCTCATTTGTGGGGACCGAGCCTGGTCAGCAGTCCCTCAAAATGCTAGGGGAGGCCCATGTTATATCGGTAGGTTGATGCTTTTTGCTCCCACCATACATCAGGTTCTCGAATTGCCTCAGAAGACTCAACGAGCCAAACGCAGTGTTCTCCAAATGGACCCTAATTGTAAAGATATAGTGTCATTGTGGGGGCGTGCCTCTGTAGTAGTAGCCTCACTCTTTGCCCCAGGGGTCGCCTCATCAAAAGCGCTCACACAATTGAGAACTCTAGCCTGCTAGACAGGAAAACAAATTCATATCACATCTAAATTGATAAGTGAGCTTTGTGCAGATGTAGATGATACCCATCATGCGGTTCTACAAAACAGAGCTGCAATTGATTTCCTTCTTTTAGCACAAGGACATGGGTGCAAAGAATTTGAAGGCATGTGCTGCATGAATTTGTCTGACCATTTTCAATCGATTTATAAACAGTTAACGCAATTGAAGGACAACATGAAAAAACTTACCGTAGTGGACACTCCATTTGATAACTGGCTCAATTCTTTAGGTTTTTCTGGCTGGGTCAAAGACTTAATTCGTTTTGGTATTGTACTTCTTTTTATCTTTATAGTTACTTTAATTGTTATACCGTGTTTTTTACAGTGTGTGCAAAAATTAGTTCATCACGCCTTCACTCCAGCCTGGGTAGCTCAAAAAGAAAAAGAGGGAATTGTTGCAGCATTTTTGAGAGAAAGAGGACATGAGTTATGAGATTTGAGCTACTCCAGTCTAGGCCTCAGATTTGGGCCTTGTGGGCCTTCAAGCCTCTGACACAGTTAGAAATTCAGAGCTTGTGGCACAGATAGAAATAGTCTTAAGGTGTGATGGGGACCACTGGGTTGTCTGGGTGTGAATTAGTATAGGTTTTATAGTGTAAGGTGTAGGCCGTTTTAAGGAAAAGGTAAACAATGTTAGCCTACCAATCAGAGTGTCTTTGTTTTTGTAAACTATGTAGAAGCTTATATAAACTACCATCTTATCTTGAATAAACGGAGAACGCTTGATTAACCACATTGGTTCAGATCTGCGTTTATCTTGTCCAGCTTTCCGTGTTTCTGAGATTCCCTGGCTTCTCAGTGGCATTGCTCAAGTGTCAGAAAGAGAGGGCTCATTCCAATCAAATGTATTGCCTGAGCTCTTCTACTCCCAGTGTTGGAAGCTTTTTCCTAAAATGGTTGACTTTCTCAGCTTTTGTTAATTGCGATTTTGTAACAAAATGTTCTCAGATGTGGTTTTGCAAGATTCTGTAATCAGCTTCCAGTTTTGCTCTTGGATTTCTTAATGGTGTGTCAGAACTGAACACAGCATTTTGGATGGGAAGGCTTCAGTCTGAGATAGGATTGTCTCAGCAGCAGCTGTTTTTGCACATGTAAGCAGAGATAACAAAGATTCCATGAGCTGAATATTCTGCCTCATTCGGAACCCACAGTGCCCGGCTCGAGGGAGCTGTGCTGGGTGAAGCATAAACTTTAAGGAATTTAGAGATTTTAGAGGAGCTAAGATTTTAGTTAGAGATAAGCCTTACCAGAGTTAATTAAAATAAATGAGCAGGCCTTGATGAAGTTAAGAGTTAGTAGTTAACTAATAATTGATTGCTTGTCAACACAATGTTTAGTTAGCTGGGTTTATAATGAAGAATATAGAAATTGACAAATAGCTTTTAGGAACATAAGACAATGGTGGGCCTCCTCTGTTCTGAAACCAATTGAAGACAAGGAATGGGAGTTCTACCAAGAGTTCATTTGTCGTATTTGCATTGAAATGGTAGAAAGGTCAGAAGGAGGAAGACTTCATTTACTTCCTCATTTTGGGACTCATCCCCATGAAAGGGACCACCAACCCATTTCAAGGAACAAACTACACATGCTTAATTGCTTTTTGAAATTATTAGCATATGAAGCGAGGAATGGGATGTACCAAAATTACGATTATGTATTTGTATTTTGGGTGTCCCGGGGCAGGGAATTCCCGCGGGCTGGGCGGGCCGGGGCCGCTGCCGAGCGCCGCCGGGCTGAGCTCTCTGCTCAGGGCCGAGGACCGCGTTGCGTTGTGTGTGCAACAGCCAGTGATCCCTGACCCTGCTGGCAGCGGAATGGCCAGAGACGGGCCGGCAACAACACCCCAGGGGATCTGTGGGGCCGCGGGGAAACTCTCTGGTCACAGGAGTTTGACGATTGTGTGGTTGCGTGGCACAGACAGCAAGGAAGGGACGGGTACAGCTGAAGTGCCAAAACTGGAGAAGTTTATTGAATAAATAAAAAGACACAAATAAGCGTGCCAAACAAAATATAAAAGGCTGCTTCAGATGACCCCGAAGTGGGGCCAACACATACATATATAGTCTCCCATAGAATGTTCCAGAAGCCTTCTGGCCAGTCATGGGCTGTTACACCATCCTGATCTGCACAGCCACTCCCAATTGGTCCCAGAGTCCCTTGCTCAGTGCCATAAGCTGCCTGGATGTCATCAGTTGTGGCTTCTTATCTCTTGAAGCTTGATGTTCCATGTCTGCTGGGTGGCTCTAGGGCCAGTTCCTGGCCTGTCTGCTCCAGGACAAGCTCCCACAAGTCAGACACCTGCTCAGCAGCTCCAAGGCGGCAGGATTTTGGGAGGTCCTGGTGTTGGCTACTGGCAGAGCCTCAGCGCTGGGCCAGGGGATGTGTGGGACCCTCCCATGGTGGTGGTTGGGCTGCTCAGGTCAGGTGCTTCATTGTCAGCCCAGAGCCATGTGCCCATCGCCTGGAAGGGGTGAGGGTTGGGAGAGCAGAGAAGGGTGGTACCAGAGCTTGGGGACCCTCTGCAGCCTGTGGGGCAGACGTCCTGATAAGGGGGAACCCCGGGAGCCTGGAACAAGGACCCCACACAGGCAGTACCCCTGGAGCCCCTCTGACACCCACCTGGGGAGTCCAAAGAAGGGGAAACTCTGGGATTGCCAGGAGCCCCAGCAGTGCAGAGAGAGGGGATACCAATACACACTGGAGCTGCAAAAGACAGGAGGGAGCCCCTGACCACCAAAGTGGAGAGACCAGAGAGGGAGGGAGAACTCCTGGGTGGATGGTTGTTTGGTGAAACTTGGTGGTTTTTGAGAATGCCTGAATCTTGGTGGTCTGGAGGTTTTTATGGACACCAGATGCCTGGTGACTTCAAGAGATGGAACTGGGCAGGAGAAACACCCAAGGCAACACACCCGCACCTTGTTTTTCCCCCAGAACAGGAATTCCATTTCCCAAACCTTGGCTCAATGGAGGAGGGGACTGTGAAAAAGGGGAAGATGGCCTGGCCCAGCCAGGTTTGAAGGAAGTCACTGCCCATTTTCCCCTCTCTCCTGCTCCATCTCCCAGCCCAGAAGGGCTCCCAGCTGTAGGGCTACTCCACTTCCAACGCCATCCTGTCCCCATTCCCACTCCCTGTCCCCATTCCCATTCCCCGTCCCATTCCCACTCCCTGTCCCCATTCCCGGTCCCCATTCCCTGTGCCCATTCCCGCTCCCTGTCCCCATTCCCGGTCCCCATTCCTGCTCCCTGTCCCCATTCCTGTTTGGGCGCTGTTTGCTCCCAGTTCCCTCCCAGTGCTCCCAGTCAGAGCGGTGCCGGGAGGGAAAGCGCTCCCAGTTCCCTCCCAGTGCTCCCAGTCAGAGCGGTGCCGGGAGGGAAAGCGCTCCCAGTTCCCTCCCAGTGCTCCCAGTCAGAGCGGTGCCGGGAGGGAAAGCGCTCCCAGCTCCTTCCCGGTGCTCTCAGGATCGCTCCCAGCGCCGCACGGGCCGGGGCCGCTTTGGGAACCCCCTCAGGACAGAGCGCGGCCGCTTTTGGGTGTCGGCACCGCCCGGGCCGGGCTGGGAGCGGAGGAGGAGCGGGAGGAAGAGGAGGGACGGAAGAGGAGGAGCAGGAGCAGCACCAACACACGCCGTTTCCCCTCTCAGCTCGCAGCTCCCTGGTATCACCCCCCTCGGAACCCGCAGGTGAGCGGGGACGGGGAGCTCGCCCCAGATCCATCGGGGATTCTCCGGGAGGGTTTTTTGCGGGGCAGGGCATGTTTGGATCTTGCCGGACCCCAAAGCTGCGCCAGAAATGCCCCTGGAGGGAACTTGGAGGGTCCCACGTGGCGATCTCCCGGTAGCGGCGGGCACAGCGGCGATACCGGGTTTGGGGATGCCCGGGAGAGCCCCGGGGAACGCGGGAGCCCCGGAGCGGGGAGCGCGCAGAGGGGCGATCCCGGAGCGGGGGACAAACCGGCTGCCTGGACGGGCGGGGGAGGTGGGGATGAGCGGGCTCGGGGCCACCGAGGCTGGAAGGGGCGCTGACTTCTCCAGCTGCGATGAATTCTGGGGCAGCGGGACCATCAAACCCAACGGGCTCATCCTTTGCTTTCACCCCAAATCAGGATTTCCCGTTCCCAAACCTTGGCCCGATGCAGGAGGAGGAGGCCACGAGGAAGAGGAAGATGGTGTGGGAGTCCCAGGCAGGTGAGGAGGAAGTCAGTGCCCCTTTCCCCCTCTCTCCTGCTCCATCTCCCAGCCCAACCTGGCCCCTGGCTGCAGGACAACCCCCTTGACAACACCATCCTGCTGGGGACACACTGGGGGAATCGCCTTCCTTTTCCCTGTGGCACGGAGGCAAATCTCATCCTCTCCTTGTCCTTTCTCCCCCAGACAAGGAGCTGAGGATGGAGACCAATGAGGACAAATCCCCATGGCAGAACCTCGTGGAAGAGGCCGATTTGAGCAGCTCCACAGCAGAGGAATCTAATGGGGAGGAAAAGCCCAGGAGATCCCACATGAGGAGGGGCTGCAAACACAGATCACGGGGATCCGAGGAGGAAAGACCCAACCTGTGCCAGGGAGGCGGCCAGAGCTCAGAGCTGGGGGTCCATGAGCAGCTTCATGATGGGGAGAAATCCCACAAGTGCTCAGAGTGTGGGAAGAGCTTCAGCCAGAAATGTGACTTGATCCGCCACTGGAGAATCCACACTGGAGAACGGCCCTACGAGTGTGATAAATGCAGGAAGACGTTTCAGATGAGTTCGTGTCTTGTCAGGCATCAGCGGAGTCACACAGAGGAGAAGCCTTTCCACTGCCCCAGCTGTGCAAAGGCCTTCAGGAACAGCTCCAGCCTGGTCACCCACCTGCGCATCCACACCGGGGAGAGGCCCTATGAGTGTCCCGAATGTGGGAAGAGCTTCACCCAGAACTCCACTCTGACTGCCCACCTGAGGAGCCACACAGGGGAACGGCCCTACGAGTGTGCGGAGTGTGGGAAGGGCTTCAGGACGAGCTCTGAACTGACCATCCACCAGAGAAGCCACACCGGGGAACGGCCCTATGTGTGTTCTGAGTGTGGGCAGAGCTTCCAGAAGAGCTGCCACCTGACCCGCCACATGGCAATCCATACAGGGCAACAGCCCTTCAAGTGTGGGCAGTGTGGGAAGAGCTTGAGGTCGAGGTCTGAACTGATTGTCCACCAGAGGAGCCACACGGGGGAACGGCCCTACGAGTGTGGGCAGTGTGGGAAGAGCTTCATGTCAAAGTCCCACCTGATCTACCACCAGAGGAGCCACACTGGGGAGAGGCCCTACGAGTGTGATAAATGCAAGAAGACGTTTCAGACCAGCTCCAGTCTCATCCTGCACCAGCAGCTTCACACAGATGAGAGGCCCTTCCGCTGCCCTGACTGCAGGAAGGGCTTCACCCGCAACTGCAGTCTCGTCACCCACCGGCGCATCCACACTGGGGAGAGGCCCTACAAGTGTTCTGAGTGTGGGAAGAGCTTCTCACAGAGTGGCACCTTGACCAGACACCTACAGAGCCACCAGTAAGGGAAGCCCTGTGAGTGCCCCGAGTGCAGGAAGAGCTTTGTGTGCTCCTCCATCTCCATCCCCCACGGGAGAGTCTGCTCTGGATGATCCCCAGTGAGCCCTGGTGGGCAGAGCCCCGGTGATCCGTGGTGTCGGTGATCTGTGTTGGGAAGACACCTGCCTTGGGGCTTCACATCCTCCCGGCTCCCCATGGGCACCTGCACACATCCACAGGCCAACATCAGAAATCCCTGGTGGAGAGCAGATTTGTTGACTTCTGACCCCAGAAAAATATCTTTTTGCATCTTTTGGTGGCATAGCAAAACTGGATAGCCTTAGAGGTCTTCTTCCGAAATAAATCCTTTGTTTTAATTTTCTCTGGCCCACGGGCATCTTCCACGGCCATATGGGGATGGACTGTGGTAAAACTTCTGATTTTGGAGATGGGTGGAAACACCTTCAAAAAAAGATTCTTCCCACCCACTCAAGCACATGGATGCTCTGCTGGCAGGGACACATAAATAATTTTGTTTTAGCCTTGAAACGAAAAGGTTTTTGTTCATCCCTTTGAAAGCCTTGAAACCAGGGTAAAACTAAAGACATTGAACTAAGGCATGGATGGGGACATGAAGGGACATGGACATGGGTGGCAACATGGGAAACATGGATGGGGACATGAACTTGGACAGCAACAGTGCCGCCACCTGTGCCACCAGCAGCTTCCTGTAAGCCATGGCCAGGCACAGTCTGTTGCAGCTCCTGCCACCATGTTCCCACTGTCACCACTGCAGTGTCCCAGCCAAACGTCACCACCCACCAGGGCAGGACAGGGACCTTGTTCAGCTGGTGACAAGTGTCCTGGAAGCGAGTGACAGCCACCAGGGTGTCCCAGGGCCACTGCACTCAGGGGGCCCCAACCGCCACTGCGGACAGGGCAAGGGTCAGTGTCACCTGGGGGCCCAGGTGGCCTCATGCTGGGTGTCACCAGAGGCGTCCTGATGGCAGTGTCCATACACTTATGGTGACATTGTCCCCTGATGTGTGTCCTGGTGGCATTACGTTCCCTCCGTTCTGTTTGTCCCCCTTCCCCACCACGGCTCCCTGTCACCCTTCTGGGTGTCCCTGTCCTCCCTGTGAGTTACTGTCCCCATCTGTCCTATGTGTCCCTGAACCCTTCCATGTGCCCCTGTCCCTCCCCCAGTGTCCCTGTCCCCTGCCCCTGGTAGGTCCAAAGTCCCCAAAGCCCCAGGGCCATGTCCTGCAGGGTGTCCCTGTGTCCTGCAAGGTGTCCCTTTGTCCTGCAGGGTGTCCCTGTGTCCTGCAGGGTGTCCCTGTGACCCTCAGGATGTTCCTGTGGCTGCTCCTGGTGCTGAGCATCTGCGCCTGCCCTGCAACAGGTAGGGACATGCCATGGCACCCTGCAACACTCCCAACAACACCCTTTTTCCTCTGATTTTGGGTCCTCTCCCCCAACTTTGGGACCTTTTCCCCTGTTTTGGATCCTTCCCCTCTCTTTCAGATCCCTTCTCCTTATTTTTTGTGTACTTTCGTCCCTATTTTGGATTCTTTCCCCGTCATTCAAGTCTTTTCCCCATTTTGGGTCACTTCCCCCTATTTAGGGTCTGTTCCCGCCTATTTTGGATCCTTCCTGTCTTTCCCATCCTTTCCCCCAGTTTTGGGTGCCCTCCCCTTTGACTTTGACAAATTTTTGGGTGCATCCTGCCCTCCAACCCTCTCCCCACCCCTTAAACCCCCTTCACCCCTCACCCCTGTCCCCCCAGGCCTGTCCCCAGCTGTGCTCCTATCTGTCCCCCCACACCACATGGACTCGGTGCTCACCATCCTGGATGCCCTCAAGTCCCCAGCCCAGGACTCTGGATCTCCTCTTCCAGGAGGTCCAGAGCTGGCCCGGCTTCCAGGAGACACCAGTGGTCCTGGGGCTCGAGGTGGGTGGCCTGGTGGGGTTGGTGGGAGAGGGTCTGGGGTCATCTTGGGACTGACCGTGGGTCTTGTCCACTCTGGGGTGAGGAGCAGCCCTGGCTGGGGAGTGTGGGATGGATGGGGGCAGGAGAGACTGGGCACTGGTGCAGATGGACACAGACACCAGAGCCGTGGATCCCACTCTGGATGGACACCGGTCCAGAAGGATCCCAGCTGTACACTGGCATGCTGCGGGAAGCTGGTGTGGGCACCCACTGGGTGGGGACACCCTGGGTAGGCGGGACAACCCAAAAAATTGGGGTCCCTGGGTGGGCAGGGACACCTTGGGGATTTGGGACCCCACCAATTGGGACTTTTCAATGTTGGGATGCCAGGTTGGGGGTGCCTCCCCCACCATGCCAAAATCCAGCCCCTGAACCTCCCTAAATTATTCTGCCCATCCCATCACTCACAAATTCAGCCTCCTCTGTCCCACCAACCCAAAATCCAACACCAAAATGCCTCTCTGTGTCCCGCCACCCCCAAATGCAGCCCCTGGAGCCCTCCCAGATTTTTCTCCCTATCCCATCAGTCATAAATACAACCCCCAAAATGATTCTCCCAATCCCACCACCCCCAAATGCAACCCCCAAAATGACTCCTGCCATTCCACCAGCCCCTAAATGCAGCCTTTGAACCCCCCAAACTACTCCCCCGCCCCAGAACTGATGGA